CATCACCCTCCCCATCACCTTCCTCATCGCCCTCCTCATCCTCATCCTCATCCTCATCCTCATCCTCATCCTCACCTTCATTTTGATCATCATCCACATCATGTTCATCCGTATCGTTTCCATTTTCAGTTTCGTCTTGATCAACCTTTTCTTCTGAAACATCTTGCTCATCACCAGATTCTGAATTTAGTTGGATGCTTGTAACCGCCTTTGAACGACGAGGTCGCAAGCCTTCTCGCCGTGGTGTTGGTGCTGGTTTTGGTTTAGCCTCCATGGTCTTCTTGCGCTTCAAGTTCAACAAACCATGTTGGTTCACAGAATTAATATTCCGAGTCCTCAAACGTCGATATGCCGGTCTCTAGAAAAATTACCCAAAGCTTTAGTCCAAGAGAATATTCAACAAAGGAGAAAAAGTGTTCCTAAGATTTTGCAATTAAATTGAAGCTTTGAAGCCATAACAAAACTGCAGTTTATGCAAGAGTGAATCTCTCACCATCAAGTCTTCATCCTCTGATCCAGAACTGTTGGTGTAATCTTCAAGATTTACAGAAATCCTTCTTTTTCTTGAAGAACGACGAAGGTTGGTTGGGACTGGCTGCAAGGGAAAAGCACAAGCAAATGAATATTCCAATCTAGCAAGCTTCAACATAAGTCACATGCACTAGAAAAGCAATTAAATTAAGATGCATAATAATAAAGCTTTTCAAGAGGGAGAATATTAAATCTTATCTGTATCTTCATCGTCAAAGAACATACCATATTCATGCCTAGCAACCATACATAAGCCACATGTATCCTATAGAGTTACGAACCTAATAGTACAGATCATGAAGAACTCAAGACATAGAAAAGGAAACTCAATAATGGATCCAAAAGATAGGTATGGTTAGTGACGAACTATTGAAATCAGTTTCATGCCAGCAGCAGCTCATAAAGAATGTTGCTTAAGAGTACATACATTACGTGGCTCTAATCTCTATGGCCACTCTCCTCACCCCGTCACCACACATTTGTCCAATGTTATGGGCACATATATAAATGTAAAAGGATACCTAAGCCATAGAACTTGTCTCTTGACTATCACAAGTGGGTTGTATAAGGGATGAATTTGTTGATTGGGATGGCACCAAAAACCATTAGTCCAAAGAGAAGCTTATTACTCTTATTCCTCATTGTTTTATTCGGTATATTTGGAGAGAGAGGGATAGGAATTTCCTGGGTGCTATCTCTCATTTCGTTAAATTCAGATGGATAACTGAATCTAATCTCATGCCAGCAACAGCACACACATACACATGTGAAAGCATTAAAACACTCCCTCTTTTCTTTTTCTATTAACAACATTCTGTAACATCCCTGCATGTACAGTGTTGCCCTCTCACATACATGTGAAATATAAAAATACACTATCACATACATGTGAAATTGGTAAAATATAGCGATTGTCAATTTCCTCAAAGCTTTTGGTTCCCAAGTTCTTTTCATAATTTTAAATGCGTAACAATTCCCACGTTCTTTGCACAATATCACATACACGTGCCATCCTACATCATGTTACTGTGGTAGACTTAAATAAACCAAGAAGTCTGTTTGACTTAAAAAAAAAAAAATTATTCCTGCATTGAGAAAGTCAATTAATGTATGTAAATATAATTTGCTCAATAAAAGCTTCTATTTCTCCAAGTGGCAGAAAAACCCTATTTCCTGACAAATACAATACAGTAGAACATGTGGCATCTTACATCGTTTAACTGTTATAGACTTAAATAAATAAGAAGTCTGTTTGACTTTTTAAAAAAATTATTGCCGCATTGGGAAAGACAATTCATGTAACTGAAAGATAATTTGCTCTATAAAAGCTTCCATTTTTCTAAGTGGCCGAAAACCCCTATTTCTTGACAAATGCAATATGCAAGTACAATTAACACCTCGGTATAAGAAGGAAAATTCACCATATATCACTTCATGCTGCAGCCAAATCAACAAAATAATAGCAAACACTTGTCTCTTTAAACCAGAAAACGTAACAAGTTTGTAACAATTTTTGGAGATACTTGTTTCTTTAAAACCAAAACAGAAATTCTGGAGAAAGTTGCGGCGGGAATGAAGTGAAGTGAAAAATGTGATGCTTACACTAGTATTTGACGTTCGCACTGGATGCTTCCCTTCATATAACATCTCAGCTATTCGAGAAGCTGCTGTCCTTGTCTTTGTCTTGTTTTTCCTGGTGCGGATGATGGTCGGGGAGTAATATAAGTATGTCCGACCATACATTTTTGGCCTTCTCCTAGGCCTATCA